TAAACAGGTTCAAAGGGAAATAAAACAATAAAATTTAATTATAAATAGATGTATAATGTTACGAACTTAGAGCTACTTAGCATAAACGAATGTGGTTTCATGCTACAATTTGAAGTCATATTAGAAAGAAAAGAAGGTTAATTTAGGTTTACTTCGATTTTTTTGGTGGTTACGAGGTCGGTCGAATTGACCGATCCCGTTTTGAGATTAGGGTAAAGAAAATAACATATAAACTATAAGAATTTAGTGAAAAAAACGTTCGAAATGCATTTAGGAGGTTTAGGGATTACACAAAGGAAATTTGAGATGACGAAAACTATTTTTAATTTTAACATGAAAATTACTTTGCACATAGACTATTCAAAACAAATACTCTATATTCATGGGCAAAACTTTATTTTATTTTATTAAAAGTACTTCACTAACAAATATGACTTTTTGTATGTGAAAGACTTGTAAGATATATAGAGGGTTATAAGTATTAAATTTATGTCAACTTTAAAAAAAAAAAGAGTACAGAAGGTCACGTGACTCGGTCAAATTGACCCCGTGTGGAAAGAGGCGGACTAATCCATTTAAGCTTTAAAGTTAATTCACTTTACCTAATGCTAAATCTGTATAGTTTAGTTATTTACTTCACCAAGCAGTTGAATAATGAGAAAAGAGCCTGGAGTATATTTCTAGCTGTTCTATATTTAGAAAGGGCTTTGCAACCCTTGCTTTCTGAGTTATGGAGTCAATTTTTTCCAACATTTCATGAAAATCATTCATCTGATCTATCAGAGTAATAGGAGCTCTACGAAGAATTATGCATAATGTTTGTTGGAAGTTTGTTGCTGGTATACCTGAAAGGTATATAACTTTTGCATATTCAATGAGTTTTTTCTATTTGGATGTGCATTGATATATACTATAGTCACAGCATAAAAAGCAATATTACATCTAATTAGAAAAACTTAAAAGCTTTGAATAAAATGACGAAAACAATATTACAGAAGCCTAGTACAACAGTTTGTTTGTTTTTGAATTTCGCGCAAAGCTA